TCGTGACGTCTCGATTTCCTTTCGGCCCTTTATTTCTTCTGATATCTTACAGTTACGGACTCCGTTTTTTTTTTAATGATAAATAAATAAAATAACACAAGTCACATTTGCTGCTTAGCGACTGTTGGTATTATTAGTGGGCCCAAATCTCCACCTGCGAAGCTAGTTTTTTATGAAGTTCTTGGTCTCCCGAGATCAGATCTCGCATGAATGATTGAATTGAAATGCTATAAACCGTGCCATCGTCGAAATTATTGCTAAACATAGTTTAAGTATGCTAGATTGATGAACACATTAGAAGTAGAGTATTATTGGAGGATCTAGTTTCAGGGTTATCATATAAATGAGCACTAGGAGCGTATTGTCTTTAAAACATTCAGATTGAATCTAGATAATCTAAATTTACAGCTTTTCAACGGTTGTTTTTTAAAATAAAAAGTTACTTTTTTGAAAAACTGACAACTAAGAAATTGTTTTTATAATAAATTCTGTGTCCATCGAAATAATTTTTTTAAAAAAAATTAAAGTAAGAAGTTATAAATATAGATCATCTAGATTAGATCTAAACAGTCTAAAGTGGATGAAACTAGTTCCTATTATTGGCTAAGCACATTCTATCTTGAGAGGTGGATTAAGTCAATGAGAAATAACGACGTGGACATGTGATGTACCTACCTCCCAGGTGTCACATGTCCATGCATATCTCAGTGGATTAGTCTACCTGTTTTCATCCACCGAGGGTACTTCAGAGTTTTGGGTACGACCTATTTACTAGTCAGTTGACAGTTATTCACAAGCCAGCCTATGCAAGTGGTGGACCCAAGACCCTGTGTTAGGCGGGTAGAAGAGCAAGGTTGAAATTAGGGTCAAAACATTAAAGCCAATGGGGTTAACAACGGTAAAACTTACATGCCTTACATGCAATATTTTCAGAAGTGAGTGGGGGCAAGTGTCCGCCCTCATTAGCAAGTAGGTCTGCCACTATGACAGCGAGACATGGCGTGTTGAAGATTTTCTGGACCTTTAACTTCTAATTGGTTAGAAGTTAAATGACAAAATCTTACATATAACCCTTTTAGCTCAGCCATATTTGCTGAATTTGCCTGTTGTTTGTTTCAGGTGGAAGATCTGCTCGGGAACTATGAGAACGTCTGTACCTTGCGCGTCAGAATGCCTATCTCATCAGATCTAGCTAACCCTCGCAATTTCGTCACAAAGATCACTCGATATGAGAAGGTAGTGAACATTCCAAATTCAATGACTATATTGGATGAACTGCTTCCCATTTCCTTGGAAATGGCAAAGAGAAATCTCACTGGCATCTGGAATTTCACAAACCCTGGAGTGGTAAGCCACAATGAAATCTTGGAGATGTACAGAGATTATGTCGACCCGAACTTTGCTTGGAAGAACTTTACCCTTGAGGAGCAGGCTAAGGTAATAGTTGCCCCCAGGAGCAACAATGAGCTTGATACGGCTAAGCTGAAGAAAGAATTCCCTGAACTCTTGCCTATCAAGGAATCCCTCATTAAGTATGTTTTCCAGCCAAATCAGAAGGTTAAGGCTTGAAGCATGTAGGTTTTCATTGTTACCCCTGCTGCTGTTGCACTAAATTGCTTGTATGGACGCTGTTTTCTGTAATCTCAGGTGTCCCTCTTCATTAGCATGCATCGCAAGTGCATTTATTCTGTTGGATTTCTTGTATTTGTATTGACTTTATGGTGAATAAATTAGTTGCAGCTTATTTATGCTTAATTATGCTTTAATTGTTTGTCTTTGAAGATATTTAAATGCCACATTTTCACTGCGAACATTAAGCCCTTTTATGATAGCAAGCATGATGCAATATAGGCGGCTGAGCTTGTTACAGCGATCAATAATCATAACTACGGAGTTGATGACTGCGTGCCGCAAAACGTAAACATGCTCGGAAATGGTAAAATAGACGTTTGCTAAGGGCATATGCGTATAATCAACCAAGTGTTGCTTTTAGAGGTTGAGATCTTTTATTAATTATTATCAAAAACTAACTCTGTAAAAAAATTAAAATATTTTTAATTAAATTTTATTTTAATAAAATAGTTACTAATTTTTAAATTAATTTTGTTTTTTTATATTTATTTCTATTTAATAGAATATTTTATCTTAAATTAAATGTAAAATAATTTATTTAATAGAGGCACTTTTAAAAAAAATAAGACAATGATTATATTTTAAAAAAATTAAAAATATCTTACATTTTTTAACATTCAATCTTAAAAAATGACTCATATTTTGTAATGGAGGGAGTAATTTTGAAATACATATATCTTGTAATATATCTTATTCTCTACTCTTTCTATATTTACTCTTATTTAATAGAGTATTTTATTTTAAATTAAATATAAAATAATTTATGTATCATGGATATTTAAAAAACACACATTAATTATATTTTAAAATATTAAAAATATCTTATATTTTTAAACATTCAATCCTTCAAAAAATACATTACATTTTTAAACAGAGATATTAACTAGATATCAAAAGAGGTAAAATTTACCTGCATCCTATCCATTATACAGTCTAAAAAAATAAGATGGTTTTATTTATTACTTATAAATTATAAATAATAGGACTTGTTAGAGTTTTTATATTGATTTTTATTTTATCATGTATATTATTAAATTAATATATACTCAATGTGATCCAAATTGTAACACATTTTTTTCAACCAAGCTTGATCTAAACTTGGTATTTTTCAAATTATTTGTCTAAATTTATCTTTGTATTGATTAATGTGTGTACAAGAAATATAATTTGACTCAATATTTCTTCTCACCATTTTTGATGAAGTAAGGAAATAAATACTTTTTAATAAATCAAAAGTTTAAGTAAGTTAAGTCTTAGACACTCAATAAGCATAGAATGTCTTTTGACTCGAAATATACTTATAAAAATATTTATAAATTATTTTTTAACAAAAATTTTATATCGATAATGAAATTTGAATTATGACTTCGTGAATTATAATCTAAATACTTGTAAACTGAACGAACATTTTCTGACAAAATATTCACTTTTATTAGCATGTAAAAGATGGTTGAAGGTGTCTTGCAATTTGCACCATGGTACTTTTTTGGGTGATGCTATATTAATATATTGTTATCGATATTAACCATGTTATTAAAGATTGGGCTTGTCAGAAGACAGTGGGCCCACTTACTGCTTAGCAGATCCGGGCCTTGAACTACAGCTGCCGGTATGAAGAGTATTTTAAGCATCTCATGTCGACCTCGTGCTGTGTGGACAGCGGGCCCCCCCTTACTAACCGCACAAGATTAACAACTAATCATATGATATTGATTCATGTATGATTAGTGCTGGGTTTCTGTGAATGACGAGTTGGAATTTGTTGCCAGAAAAAAAAAAATTAAAACCGGAGACGAGTTGGAACAATTTGTTAATCTTTGATTGACCATGGATCTCATTTAACGAGATTAAAATTACATAGATATGTGTGTTTATTTATGGTATTAGTCAATTGGAGAAAGAGTCAGCAGCAAGTGCGAGATACATCTGAATCCTGTCCCGTAATTCATAATTTAATAAAGAGAAAAAGAAAGAAAGAAAGAAGGAAGGAAAGAAGTTACATGGGCACAATGGAGAGAGAGGCTTACGGCCGAAACAGATTTTAGGGTGAAATCGCATGTAAAGTTTTGGACAAACCGAACAGATCTCGTGAATTTCAAATAACGAGTAGAGGGAACACACCGTGGGTGTGGATGCTCCTTGTCCTTGTAAACTTGATCCATTTTTGCAACAGTTATGATAATTATCTTGGGACAGCTTCTGCATTTAGTGTTTTAAAATCCAATTATTGTGCGGTTTTTCTTTTAATCCCTAAGAAACATATGACATCGCGAAAAGGCTACATAATCTCCCTTGTTGTTTCAACGAGTCCTATGAAATATTTAATCATCACATGAGAAATCTAAACAGGGTGGTATCTTTGGCAAATGACAGCAAAAGAATTTGAAATTTTAAAATATTATATAATTGTATAAAGACACCGAACGAAGCACCACATATCTCCTCCTTTACACGTCACAGTTGCCCTGCTTGCTTAACACAACTCACAGTACTTGACCTATCTATTACGTTATTCTCCTCACATGCTACGACTCATCTCTAACAAGTAGTTTTCAATTTTTACCTCTCATGTATTCATTTCTGGATCTGTCCCCTGTCGAATTGTCTTAGGTAAAAATAACGCGTCTAATCGTTCTCAGAATTAGAGCTTTGTTGACGAAACATAGGAAGCCTAGTTTGTGTCGAAAGAATAGCGTGTTGGCACCACTCGGAGCACCCAATATGTTTTTGCTCCATTATTGATAACAACCAAACTCATTGGTGGAGCCTCACCAAAATCCAAATGCTTATGCGCTCTGTTATCCGTGGCAATAGTTATTCCATAAATCAACTCTTCAGCTTTGCAAATGTAGCTTTACAGAAGGGTTCACCATCACATGGGGCAGGGGGCAGCTTGGCTCAAGTGGAGTCATTGGACCCCACGGAGAGTCGTTGTGAATGTAACACGCGCGTGTGGAGTGCGGCCCCTTGCGGGGCCCACCACCATGACCAGTCTCTTCTCCACAGATCATTTACATGCTCCATCTTTTCTCTCTCTGTTTTTTTTTCCCCAACTTTTTTGTCTAAGTCATTTATATGTTTTATTTTTTTAATCACTTCTAACTAACTCAAAATAATAATAAAAATTTAAAAATTTATTTTTTATTTTGTCTCAATTAAAAAAATTTAAAATATGAATTTTTTAAAAAATTAAAATAATATACTTCTTTTTAGAATTATACATTAAAGATTAAAAAAAAGCCAAAATAACTTATATAAAAAATCAAAATTTTTTAAAGTATAACTAATAAAAAGAATGGAGGGAGTATATCGCATGAATTTTTATTTTTTAAAAAAATCAAAATACTTTTTGGTCACACACGGATCTATTTATATAGAAAGAGATAAATAATTAAATATATAAAGTGATGAACTACAATCACAGGTCACGGCACATCCTCACCACCACTTCGTCAACCTCTCTCTCACCTTATTTACAAGCTGCGTTCCCTATTCCCCCAAAAATACAAAATCAGTTAGTGGAAGGTGGGCCAGACCACCACTCACTTTCACACGTGTCGGCCTATCCATCCACGTGCTTGAAGCCCAAAAAGCCTCCGTAGTCCGTACTCTTCTCTCCCTCCCCACGTGTGCCTCATCCTCACTCCTATTTCTCTTTTAATAAACTTCTCACGGATCCTGCTTCTTTCCTTTCTTCTTTCCTTGCTCTCCCCTGTAATGAATACCAGACCAGTAGTTGAACATTGATTGCAGAAAGTGTACGCAAAGCCCAGTAGCCTACTTCGCTTATCACTGCAACTGCATTTCAAACGTGTGTTTCTGGGTTGTGTACCAAATCCTCTATAGAAAACAAAAGGTCAAAAACACACAATAATATCGCTTAAGCTGCTCCGACGTCAAAATTGCTGGCTCCATTCATTGAAAGTTCCAAGTACAAACGACAGTAAAATAAAGAGAAAAGGCTTCCCATGTCATTTATTATTCTTTCTATTTCAACAGCTTTTCAGTTAGTGGAAGCCAGTCCCCTTGATTGATTTGAAGCTTACGCTTGTTTATTCGCTGACCGCCCCATCAACTGCAACTCTTGCTTATCGTAAATCTCCAATGAAAAATCCCTCAGCATCTGGGCCTTGCTGCCGCCGCTACTACTACCGCCCGTCGCCCCGCTACAACTAACGCTCGGTGCCATCGTCGATTTCTTCGCCGCCGTTGGCCCCACCATGCTCGTACTCACCGCCGCTGAGTTGGACGAATTATTGCATCCCACTGGCGAGACTTCCATGCCGCTCGAGGTATTTGTTATTGCTGCCACCAGAGATGATACGGGTCTGGCTGACACATTCAATACAGGCGTCACCGTCGGCGACAAAGTCCATATCTGAGGTGGTTGGTTTGACGATCCCGTACTTCCACCCGCTGGCGTCGCCGCCGCCGCCGCAGGAGGGATCATCCAAAAGGCGTTCGCCGGGATCATCATATTAGTGTTGCCCACTGCCCACAGAGGCACTAGGCCGTGCGGGAGAGCCGATTGAACCGGGGCCAAACCGGACGATTGTGAAACGGCTTCACTCACGTCCACAAACTCGCTATTCGACGGCCTTTTCCGCTTCTTCCTGAGTTCGGAGTCCGGATTGCTGTTGGCGCTAGACGTTGTGGGAATCTTTAGAGTTCCCCCAACGGAGACAGCGATGGCTGGGACGGTGCCGGAGCCGGTGGCCTCGATGATAGCCTGCTCCGCGCGTTCGAGGAGCCACCGAACGGTCTCGCCATCAGATTTATGACCTAACTCCCGAGTCAGCTGGAAGATCCGAGCCGCGCAAGTGGCGGGTATTCGGATCCTACGTCCGCGGCCTTCCACCTTCGTGTGACGGTCCTTGGCTGAGGAGCGTCTCGCCGTGGAGACCGGCATGGACATGGGCATAGTCAGGGGCATTTGCATCTGCATCGCGACAGGAACGACTCCAATCGGAGCAGACGAGGAAGGCTGCGTCTTTTGTTCTTGGTCTGACGGCGTATCCGAATCAAGGGGCTCCTCCTTCAACGGCAAGACCTGGAAAGCCATGGGATCGTCCGAGACGGGCCCCTTCGAAGGTCCATTGTTCCTGTCGGTGTTGATGGCCGCGGGATCCCCGGCGCTGGTGCTGAGGTCGGAAGTTCCGCCATCGTCGTCTTGATCCATGTCATGCTCCTGAGACGACGTCATTTGAAGAAATCGGAAAGAGAATGGAGAAAACAAACAACGATCAGAGAAATCACAGAGATATAGGGAAGGAGCCTGGAAAATGGAAATTGAATTGCTGGGAACACGAGTAAGTCCAATAAAACAGAGTCCGAGGGTATGAGTAAAATGGCAGAGAAGTGAGCAACGAAGGATGGGGCCTTGGGGGCTTTCCAAGTGGGGAAATTTTCCTTTTATTTTTCCCTCTTGCTTTTATTTTTAATTTTAATTTCTTATTGGGGTGATAACAATGCAAAGTTTCTGCGAAACCTCAACGATCCAACGGTGATGATTAGATCGAATTAGTTAGGGGATCACCAGAAGATGCCACATGTTCGGTCCTACTTGGTGGCCATCCCGATTTGTCCTCCATCCCATTCTGGGGACCACTGGGGAATGGTGGGGACGGGTGGTCTCATTTCTACACCAATAGGTCCAGAGGCTGACGTCAGGAGGACCTAAAATAGTTCTCTCATTGATTTAATAAATGGTTTTTATTGGCTGGCACCACCAATATATGGTGGTCCACGCACACTAGAAAAGTGTGAATATTTTTAAAAGGTGACAGGAGTATGCTTCTGTTTCCTTTTACATATATACATATATATTTCTTTTTTTAAATCCAGCTTCAGCTCACAGATAAGAACTCATTGGAGCGTGGTTTATAAGTTATAATAAAGTTTAGATTAGCTAAATCTATTGTCCAAAAAGGATACACCCTAAATCCTATTGACAAAAGGAAATGACTAGGGAAGTCTTGGGCCGTGAATCATAATTCCTATGGAATGATATGCCTCATTCTGGAGGTATCGTCATTTTAATACTTCATTTATGGTTTTGGCAAATCATCCCTATTTTATCAAGTTCTAATTTCCAAGAGCAAATAGGGTTTCAGTGTGCCATTATCGGATATACCAGCGACAAGATTTGACCTCATACTTCAAATCAGTATATACGGTCTACTAATTAAATCTCAATTTGATCAAATGGAAGTATAGTTATATGGGCTCTTTAAACATTATTTTAAAGTTTAATTTTTAGAGAGGCATATGAAAAAACATTACTTACGACAAAATAACTCTTTAAATAATTTTTAAATTTTTTGAGAGATTAATCTCATGACTCGATTGTAAGAATATTTTGGACAATCAAAAAAGTATATACAGTCTACTATAAAATTTAAATATTTTTATTTTAAGCCGGCTAATTTTTTTTAAATTCCTTTTTACTTTCTTTCTCACTTGAATATAGGATAAAAGTATAAATTTAATCATAAATTATTTTTTAAGAATTATTGGTTAGCTTGTATAATGAGATGGTGTTAAAAAAGGGGACGGGAGAATTTTAGGTGGGGACCCTTGATTCAATATAATAAAAAAGAAGACTCCAGAATTTTTAAAATTTTACTAAAAGATACATACAGAATTTCTTTTAAATTTGTGATGAAAATGGCAACACTGTCCTCATTTAATTAAACAACATAGACAACATATTTGTTTTGATATGATATATTATTCATTTACTTACAGAATATTATTAATTATTTAACACCACTTATTTATAACCTTAGTTTCACTTGATTTCACTCCAAATATTAGTTTTATTATAAGACGATTTGTTTGTTTTCATGCTATATGTTATTTTTTTATTTAAGGAATGTTATCTGTTTCCTTACTTCATTTTTTATGACCCTTGAAACAAAATTAAGTGAAAATAGGACTATAAACAATTAAATTAAGGAAATGAATAAGATTCCGTAAGTAAATAAACAACATATAATATGAGAACGAACATATTGTTTATGTTGTTCATTTAAATTAGGGTAATTTCATCATTTCTGTTACAAAGTTTAAAAAAAATTATGTATGATTTCTTCAGTGAAATTTCAAAAATTACGAGATCCTCTTTTTTATTATGTTTAGTCAGCGATCCCTCATTAAAATTTTTCAAAAAAAATTTAGTTATAACTCAGTATCTAAAGTTTTACTTGACTTAGTTATAACTTAGTTCTTAAACTTTGACTCGTTATAACTCAGTTTTTAAAGTTCCAACTCAATTATAAATCAATCTTTAAACTTTGCTTCTTGCAAATTAGTCCCTGAAATTTTAACCTTTTAAAAAATAAAATTATAAAGATTAAAAATATTTTAAAACTTACTATGAATATTTTAAATTATTAAACCTTTTTAATCTTTATAGATATTATATATATTAAAAATTTAAAATAATTTTAATCTTTATAATTTTATTTTCAAGAGATTGAAATTTCAGAAATTAAATTACAACAATCAAAATTTAAGAACTTATTTATAACCAAGTTAAAACGTAAGAAATTGAGTTATGATGGTCAAAATTTAAAAATTAAATTATAATTAAATTAAAATTATAAGAATTAAATGATTAATTTTTTTTAAAAAAAATCAATTACAAGAACATGTGCAACCTTCCATCCATTGTTGCTAACGTCCGTTAACTCAAGTTTGTAGGGTCCACATTCCCCACTTCGTTTTTCCATCAGCGACTGAGCTCTTCAACTTCATCTTCTAATAATAGATGCAGTGCAGTTCAATAAAACAGAAATCTCAATCCTTCTATCACTCCCCTCTCACCTCAAATCGTCAATTGGAGCAATCCCTAGCTTTCTGCGCCAAATCCTACATTCTGATCATTAAGTACACTCTCCCTCAACCGCCGATGCCATCAGCTGAAGTCAATTTGGGTTCGCCGCGTATTGTGTGGGTTACACTAAGAATGAAGAGCTTCGATGCGAGAGGAAGCTTGCATGGTCGAAGTCGTCGTCGGCGTTGGAGGATCAGAACAGCGTCGTGCATAAGCTTGCCAGCGTGGCTTCTGCAATAATCAAATTGTTGCTCGAGGCTTGATTTGATGATAGCTTTGTGATATGTAACTCTGTTTCTTCCCCTTTGTAGTACTTTAGATGGTAGTTCTAGTAACAATGGAAGGATGTTCTTTTATAATTGGTGTTTATTATAGTTATGGCTGAAGACGATCAAGACTAAACAGGATGGCGGTGCCAAGAGGGAGGCCAATGAAGGGTGGGTGTTACACTTCTGAGAAGAGGAAGACACCCCTTGGCGCCTAGCTGTGAGGTCCAAGCTTAGGTAGAAGAAGATGGAGCAATGGAAGGGAGCTAGACTGCCGCCTGCACAAGAGGATGATTCCAGTGTCGTTTCAGACGGCGTTGGGGAGTGTAAGGACAGCCCATAGAGAAGATGAAATTGATCGTGGAGTGATTGGAGGAGGAGATGAGGCCAAAGATGGTGGAATCGCAGAGTTTGAAGAGCTAAGATTGAAGATAAGGTTAGAGAAAGAAGATGAAATCCAAGGGGGCGGAGAGAGAGAGTTAAAATAAACGACCGTCTGTGAAAAATGAACGGGAAGTTCTAGATGTACCATTTTTTATAATTGATAATTTTTTCTACACCATTTTATAATATAGGCTAGCCATTAAAAAAAATACATAACTACATTTGTACCTTTATTCTTGAATTTATATGTTTAATTTTTCCTTTTAAAAAATTTAAAATTAATGGAATTGACATGTCTTGTAATAGTTACTGCAGATTAAAGCAAAGAGTTATCACAAATACCGTTAACTCGCAACTCGTCATGCTTCATCTCAACAAAATTTAACAAATAAATAGCTTTATCAGACGCCAGTATACAATTCTTCCGTGCCAAGTGCTAATGTGCTATATTAGACATGACAATTAATTTTTTACACTAAGACTTATAAAAATAGTTTTAAAATCGACCTGTGATACAGCAGCATACAAATGCAATACATCGACAAAACATTTGCTCAACTTACCATCATCTCTAGTTTATGAAAAGGCTTGCATTTAAGTGATGCTCCCCTGAAACTAGCTGAATTTGATAACAAATCATGTTTTACATTACCAACACTATTGAAAAACAAATTAATTTGAACAACTGGCACAATTATTTGAAGCAAGGACATCGAAAAGGGGGGTGGAATTTTTGAATTTTCAACATTTGCGACAACGACAACCAATCGCCTTCCCTCCGAACACGTAAACGTAACTAACAAGGACACAAGCACAGATACCAATCAGAGCATTTCACGTTCTGTGTGTTTCAGTATCAGTGACCATTGGCAGTCACACAATTTCCAGCTGGGGCCTTGCCGATCACACTAGTTTTGGTTGCATAGAACCTCCGGTACATGGAATCTACTTCAGTGAGATAGAAGGTGCCTGGAGATAGAAGGCTAGAGTCCTTGCTCGTCACAAAGCCCTTGGCACCATACCTATGTTCCATTAGCTTCAGAGTTTCAATGAACTTCTCTGGAATAAACTGCATCAAACCATGCACTTATCAAAAGTTTATTCAATTGTATGGCCAGGAAGCGCGACTCTGGTTTAAGCATACAACAACAACAACAACAACAAGCCTTTATCCCACTAGGTGGGGTCGGCTACATGGATTGCAAGACGCCATTGTACTCTATCATTTATTAAGCTTTTAGAAATATTATTAATTAAGAGATCACGTTCAACAACTTCCAAGAGTGTTCTCTTAGGCCTTCCTCTACCTCTCTTAATCGGACTTAAAGTTATATGTTCCACTCTTCTCACTGGTGCCTCCCTTGGTCTTCTTTGTACATGCCCAAACCATCTCAACCGATTTTCTACCATTTTTTCTCAATAGGTGCCACCCTCACTTTTTCACGTATGTGCTCATTTCGAATTTTATCTTTACGTGTATGTCCGCACATCCATCGTAACATTCTCATCTCTGCTACTCCAACTTTATGCTCTTGCTGTCCCGTTAGAGCCCAGCATTCACTACTATATAACATTGCCGGTCTGATAGCAGTACGATCAAACTTTCCTTTAAGTTTATTAGGCACCTTACGGTCACAAATAACTCCTTTAGCTTTTCTCCAATTAAACCACCCAGCTTGAATTCTATGTGAAATATCTCCACTGATTTCGCCATCATTTTGAATAATGGCTCCCAAATATCTAAACTTTTCCACTTGAGGTATAATTTGATCTCCCAATTTCACTTCCAAATTATTTTCGAATAGTCCTTTACCAAATTTACAATATAAATATTCCGTCTTACTTCTACTCAGACGAAAACCTTTCGACTCCAATGTCCTCCTCCATAACTCAAGTTTGCAATTAACCTCTTCTCTTGTCTCTGCTATAAGAACTATATCATCCGCGAAGAGCATACATTTCGGGATTTCCTCTTGAATATGTTCCGTCAAAACATTTAAAATCAAGTTGAACAAATAAGGACTCAGAGATGATCCCTGATGTAGTCCAATCTTTATAGGAAAATCCTTTGTTTGACCACTAGGCGTTCTTATACTAGTTTTTACCCCCTCATACATATCTTGTATGGCTTTAATATAAGCAATCCGTACTCCCTTTTTTTCCAACGCTTTCCAAAGCACTTCTCTTGGTATACGGTCATAAGCTTTTTCCAAATCAATAAAAACCATGTGTAAATCTTTATCTTTACAACGATACTTTTCCATTAATCCCCTTAGTAGATAAATTGCCTCTGTAGTTGATCTACCTGGCATAAAACCAAATTGATTCTCAGAAATACTTGTCTCCAATCTCAACCTGTGCTCAATTACTTTCTCCCACAATTTCATTGTGTGGCTCATGAGTTTAATCCCTCTATAGTTAGTACAATTCTGAATATCTCCTTTATTTTTATAAATAGGAATTAATGTACTTCTCCTCCACTCATCAGGCATTTTCTTGGACCGTAAAATCACATTAAATAACTTAGTTAACCATCTCACCCCTTCTTCACCTAAACATTTCCACGCTTCGATAGATATACAATCAGGTCCGTTAGCTCTACCATTTGCCATTTTCTTAAGAGCTTCCTTTACCTCCTTATCACGTATTTTTCGATAGAATGACAAATTTTGTTCTCCTTCACCAGTTACTAAATCCTCCAAGTTACTAGATGAATCCTCTCCATCATTGAAAAGTTTAGAAAAATAAGTCTCCCATCTATTTTTAATTTCATCATCTGTAACTAAAATTCTTCCCTCTTCATCCTTAATACACCTTACCTGTTCTAGATCTCTTGATTTTCTTTCCCTACTCTTGGCAATCTTATAAATATTTTGCTCTCCTTCCTTCGTCTCAAGGTTCTTATAAAATTCTTCAAAAGCTTTGGAACGAGCTTCACCCACAGCTCTCTTAGTTTCCTTCTTAGCCATACGGTACCTCTTCCAATTTTCTTCATTGTTACACAAATGTATGGCTTTAAAACAGTTCTTCTTATACTTGATTTTGTCCTGTACACTATTATTCCACCACCAAGACTCCTTATCTCTCGGACCAGAACCTTTCGATTCTCCCAAAACTACTTTTGCAACCTCCCGTATCTTTTTAGCCATATCCTCCCATATGATGTTAGCACTTCCCTGAGAATCCCAAATTCCTTTATCCAAAAGATTTCGCTTGAAAATATCTTGCTTCTCACCTTTTAATTGCCACCACCTAATCTTTGGTGTTACTACTTGTCGACGTTTTTGGATTTTACTCATAATACACACATCAAGGACTAGGACCCTATGTTGTGTCGTTACAGCATCTCCAGGGATCACCTTACAATTTTTACAAAGTTTTCTATCTGTGTTCCTAACCAAAAGAAAATCAATCTGCGACCTTGAGGCTCCACTTTTGTAAGTGATGAGATGCTCATCTCTCTTCTTGAAACAAGTGTTGGCAATCTTAAAATCATACGCCAATGAGAAATCAAGAAGAGTTTGCCCTTCATTGTTTTGCTCTCCAAAACCAAAACCACCATGCACCCTCGCATACTGACCAGCTTCCCTCCCGACATGCCCATTAAAGTCTCCTCCAATAAAAATCTTTTCACTCTGTGGTATGTGTCGAATCAACCCCTCCAGATCCTCCCAAAATAATTCCTTAAGACTGGCTTCTGTCCCGACTTGCGGCGCATAAGCGCTAACAATATTAACAGTCTCACGTCCAATTATCATTTTTAAAGAAATAATTCTGTCTCCAATTCTGCTAACTTCTACAACGTTCTTCTTCCACTCATTATCTATAATGATGCCTACTCCATTGCGTGCACTTACTTTTCCTGTATACCAAAGTTTGAAACCTTGAATATCCTTAGCTCCTTCTCCACGCCATTTTGTTTCTTGCAAGCAAAGGATATTGATTTTCCTTTGAATCATAACCCCTACAACCTCTACAGATTTACAATTTAATGTCCCAACATTCCAAGGTTTAAGCATCTTGCTCAAAATTAGAGCAATAGCCCAGAAAGGTAAGTCTGATCAAGTCAAAACCGTTTATTCTCCTCGCATTGACATGTGCTAGTGTCAATCCTCAAGCTACACTTCTTGGGCATTTACACATCTTCATTTTAGTATTGTTTAAAAAAAAATCTTCAAGAGCTTGTATCTCTGTCAACCTTATCTGATGCTCTGATTGCTTTCCTACGTCATTTTTTTTTTTGAATAAAACTTCCTACGTCAATTTTAAACCTATCAAGCACACAAATTCGAAATAATTTCATATTTGAACAGGCTTTTGAAAATCAGTACCTCATGTCTTGACTTCAATTTTCCGTCAACATTCATCACTTTAGCAATGTTCGATAAGCTGAATGGATGTTGACCATCATGTAATCGCAAAGAGAACATTGTGGCAGTTAGGCCACTTCCATATGAGAAGAGTATCACCCGGTTGTTTGCCTGAAAATTATAAACATTATCAGAAAGCGTGCACTTTTGAAGTGAGCAAGCCTTGTATTTGATACATTTAATAACCGAAGCATTTACCAATGTGCTATGTTTGTTGTGAATGAGGGATGCAAATGCCGCATAAAGAGAAGCAGTGTACATGTTGCCAACTTGTTTGGGTATCAAAGTAGTAGGTTGGACTTTTGCATCATACAGCGGCTTTGCAACTTGTTGGGATGCCTGCAAATCAAGAATATTGAACATCATGAGCAGCAAGTCTAAAAATCTTCAATTGCTAAGAATTTTATACATGTTCGGTAACTGAAAAAACTAGCTTCCCAAATTGTGGTGCTCTGCCTGACCTTTTCAAGATCTCGGCTTTGGTAGCTTTCATCACCAGATAATGTTAAAAAAGGCTCCAGCTTTTCTTTAGCAACCTCATCCGCAGAGCTGCAATTGATATCAATGTTCAAACACCCAAGCACGAGACAAAAATAAATTGAAAGAGTTTTCCAGACGAAATAAAGCAAACCTGGGATTTTTCAGGTAGTCGTTGAACACCAAACGAGCAAAACTTTTTTGTACAAGCTGCAGTAGTTCAAAGTATTAAAGTGTCACACTGATATATTAAACAGATACCCATTAATTATGGTAGATATAATTAAAAAATGAAAAATTAAGATGCTAAATAATGTATTCTTAAGTACCACAGAGACTTGCATGTTTCCCCCTTCTTATTCTATTATGGCCTGGGAATCTGGGACCCTAATAATCTAACCTACCTTGTTATAAGGAGAGTGAAATACAACGTAGTCAGCATCAGAAATAAAAAATTGTTTCCCCTGAAATTTCTCATATCTGCAAAAAGTAAAATGGTAAAGCACGTAAACATTACTTGGAAATCAAGAGTACATGAAAACTGAATTAAAAATACACAATGTCACAATTAACGTACTTGTGACAGAAATGTTTATAGCAAGAATCAAGAGCCATTAGGTAACATGTTTGAGAAAGCTTCCCATCAACAACCTACACCATGTAAATTAGATGGACAGGCTGCAGGTGGAAACCAAAAAACTAAAAAAACCTTCAAATATTATCCTATCTCGCACAATATATTCTCAAGACCAAACTAGTGCTACAAGGATGCTAGAAAAGTGCTCGGACATAAATTGTAAAGGGATTGAGAAGCTTACTGGATATTCACTAGCAAGATTAGGCTTGTAAAAGTCATATACATGAGACATATGACTTCCCCTCAATTTGCTTTCAAAAGCAATAGGCGCATCAGGACCAATTAGCATGGCAATAGCAGCAGCTCCACCAGTAGGCCGAGCAGGCCCTTCAGCATAGACCTGAGAAAGAACACATGCATAAGATTGTACTCAATAAGAATTATGAAACCTGGAACCCACATCTTCGAGGTCTGACTTTGTAAATGCTCTGGGTCTTGTATTCAGAAGGGAGTACGAAACATGTTTACAGTTATATTATATAGTCTAAATGCCAAGTGAAAATGAGAAGTGACCTCACCGCACTGTCAGTGCAGACAACAAGTCCATAGCGTCCATCCCATGAACTGCTTTCCACCCAGTTTACACAATTGAACAAAGCAGCAGTTCCTCCATAGCATGCATTTGTGGAATCAACACCCTCAATGTCAGAATTTCCATATTTCTGTTTGTTTCCAACAAGTAAATGAGTATTCCATTAAAATGCTGTGATTGTGGATGGATGGTAATAAAAGCAAGCATAAAAGTGCACCAATTCCAACTGATCAATAACAAGACACACACACTTAAAAAGTATCTGAGACAGTTAAATTTAGAAGTGTACTTTCAACCATTCTTATTGAAAGCAATTACTGAGAATTTATCTGAGACACACAAATTTAATGACACTGCAAATTTAAGACAAGCAATTTCAGAAGGAAAAAAAAGAAGAAGAAGCATTTATTATAATCTAGTCATAGACCCAAGATGAAAATCTAGCCAGCAATTTTCAACTTTAGCAGTGTGCTCTGCTGGGAATACGCAATAATGAATCTCAATGGCTTTTAAACCAACATTAAATACTTCAAACTGAAATGGATACCTTTCGACTTGAGTAAATACATATACAAATTGGTTAAGGTTCTAAACCACCATCTCATGGCAAATGAAATAAATTATACTCTAGGAAATTACTTTTAATCAGGAGAATATAGCCTTGCAGTTGAAAATGGAAACGTACCTCAAAGATCTGCATCAAGAAGGTCTTAATGGACTTGCTCTTGTCTATCACAGTCTCGCTGCCTACTTCCAGGCGACCAATTTGTTTGGGATCAATCTCATAATTCTCAAGAAGGGATGTTACCACTGTCAAACTGAAAATGAAAAAGTTGAGCTTATAGAATGAAACTAGGAAAGATAACCACCTTCATAGAAGTTAGGAAGGAATATATTTAAATTCATAATGTGCAGCAATGGTTCATTATTATTGCTTCTAGAAGTTCCCCCATTATTTACAAAGCCCTACAATGTCATAACTCATACAAATTGAAGATAACTGATTCAATACAGGGGAAGGCTAAAATGTTTCAGGATTAGATCTTCCCATCTTCCTGTCAACTTCAACAACATGGCTTTGCAACCAAATCAAGGAAAATTGATTTGGTTTTATAACATTAGATTAGGCATGCCCTGATATTTGAATTCCCATTATTCTGTTCTTTACATTAGCCGAGATTGAAGCTTGTAAATATTCAATGATAGCTTTCCTTAGTATTTTGAACGATGCACAAAATTATCTTTTACTAAGTGTTTCAGTATTCACTGCTATTGAGCTGAAAAATCAGAGATTATTAAATCGAAAATAATAACCTCATTGAGATGACATCTTCCAACTCTGTACAAAATGCCATGCAATCTTGTCCCAGCCCGATGGTATACTTCCCTTTACTGGCACCATCATGAGCCTCCAATGCTTCCTGCATGCATAATGTGAAAAAAATGAAAGCATTACTTGAACGGAAAGATTTGCAACCTCAACTTAAAGAACAATCAAATAGAAAATAAATCAAGGACCAGATACATATTGCCGAGGATGCATTAAGAGCATGGTTTGACTTGAAAGAAAATAACTCAGAGATGACCAATGGGAGTGTGCCGCCTTATTTTTTAACCCCTTTCTCGCAGTAAATGAAGGAAGCCTTAGAAGTTAGAAATAGTCATTTGAACAATAATTTAAAGTGATTTCCTGATTATCCCATGGAAAGCTGGGTTTAAAGAGAATGTTATTGGTCGCTTGTCTCCTATGGATACTTTGTAACCTTTCTTATTGGGGGGAAAAATCACAGAGAGAGAGAGAGAGAGAGAGAGAGAGAGAGAGAGAACGTTATACGGATTTCCCCCTTTTTCTCAAGTGATGATTTCATGAAAATTTCCCACTAATTATTAAGGGCCAGTCCTTTTCACATATATAGAAACTTCACACAATACTCACCAGGCAAAATTAAAACAGGGAATTACATCACAGGCATTCCATCTCAACTTATAACAAGCCCTTTAAGTTTTCTTTTCTTTTGTTTTTTTTTTTCCAACCAACCACCAATTTAATGGTCATTATCTCACAAATGCAAATGACAACTTCCGGCCACATGGTGAGCTTTCGAGAAGAATAATATCCCCAAATGTACGGAAGAAAATTAAATCGATTCAATCCCTCACAGCAAAACCGTAAAGCAGCTGCAGAAGAGGTAACCGTAACAGAATTCTGATCCAAAATGGTAAACAACTATAAGAAGCAAAGGCTTTGGAGGCAGGGAGAACATGGATCTTCTTTGCATTCAAATGCAAAATAGCTTCTAAACTGTAAGCTTCAGCATCTTCAATAATTTTAAATGTTCTTATGGCCCATGTACTGTTTTTCCCAAATAATTTACACAACATAGAACGGATGACAAAATTCCCCCGAGCCCTTTCATGCACGGAAACTCATTTTCTACTGATTTTCTCATTGATGAAACCCGATCAGCACTACTTACCTCGCGGCAAAAAAAAAAAAAAACAACTCACTGTCACTGGTTTTGGCATTACTCGAGATTTCCAACCAAAAAGGCACAGGAAGAGGAACGAAAAGAAGACCGAAAATGAAAAAATGACCTGCTGAACGAATGTGGGAGGGAAGTAGATGTCGAGGGCGAGAATCCCAACATTCTTAGCCATTTGTGCAAACTTGGGATTGGCAAGCAACGGTTCGAGAGATCTCCAACGAAAATAGCGCCACTCTTTGTATGGGTTCGCAGCTGCGCGAAGAGAAGCTTATGTGAGAGAGGGGGGGGGGTGAGAGGCTGGGTAATGTTTGAGCCTGTGCGTGGAGTGCCGAGGGATCTCACATGCAGGTGCTGTAGTATATATGTGTATATATAAATGCAGAAGCAGCCACACCACCAAGCTCCCCCACCCCCACAACGTCTAAAACGAAGTCTTCGTGAGCTTTCGCTTTACGACAGCCTCAGAGCCCCCTTCTCCTATCGAGTTTTTACCCTTTTTTCGTTCCTTGCTCTCTTTCCTTCTTTCTTTTTTCCTTTTTGTTTTTAATTCGTTCCATTTATTGATAAACAGATTTGACAGTCAAAAAAAAAAAAAATTGCATCCCCTTATTCATAGGTTTGAGTCGGTGATGCATCGTTGCATGCTTCATGTTTTTCTCTTTTTCTAAAAATAAAAAAATAAAGCTATCCAAGAGGAAAACATTTTGCTCTTTTCATATGCCGCTTTTTTTAATGAGGTGAGGATTTTATATTTATTATTGATATATAGAAAAATAAAAAAACTAATGCTTGTAAAATTTCGTTATGAATACATTTTGAGCTTTCCTATCCCCTACTCATTTGTTTTAAAAAAAATATTTTGAAAAATTTTAAATTTCAGAATTTTAAATTCTTCAAAAAAAAAAACAAAAAGAAAGTTATCATATTTTTTATGGACTTTAAGCAAAATAAAATTGAAAAAAAAAAAGGCGGGACCTTTAATAATTCAAGCTCTACTGGAAAGGTTCATAATTATTACGAGTAAGCAAAATATGCTAGGTCCTTTTTTTTCCCTCATCAGGTATTTAATCTTATATATTTAATATATTTTTATTTAATTAAATCAAAGCATGTAAATTTTAATATGTTAATAATAATAACAACAAGAGTTTGTTATAAGATAAATAATTTATAAAAAATTCATATATATTAATTTAATTAAAAAATTAAATACATAAGATTAAATATATAAATTTTTCCCTCTTCCCATATTAAGTGAACTAAATGGACCATCCACTTTAACATTATACCAACAGGGTTACTGCCAGCGGCCAACGAATTTGGTAAAATTTTCCTGATGACTGCAGAAAAAAGTAAGTGGAATCTTTAAATTTTATACAAATCTCAAAAAAAAAAAACAAAGAAATACACATATATATTGATACTGCAAGTTTTCTGTCTACGTGTGCACAGAAAACTTCCATTTATAATATATACGCAGAACTAGAAAGTGACATCTAAATCAAAGATGCATATTTTCATGTGCTCTTTGTGGTCCCTGCACTCACGCATTATATCACGAATTTTGAGCCTAGAGAGCAGAGCATACTGAGAGACTGAATTTACTGAGAAAAATAATAGTAAAAGCTGGAATCTTTTCTGACATGTTAAAGTTGGCCCTGGCTCCCTCTATCATTTGTCTATTCGCACTTTTCCGGTTCATGCCTCGTGCTTTCGGTTCCCCCCCCCCCCCCCCCCTTGTTTGGTTAAAGCAAACAAGAAGAGGAGAGATCGAGGTGAAGTAAAATTCGAAGTGCAAGAAAACTAAAAACGTGGAATTGAATGGGAGAATGGACATGACACTTGGAGTTCAAGTGTTGGGTAGATGATTACGTGAAGTAGCCGATCTCGTAGCTTCCTAAAATGTCTTCATTAACACTCGGATTGGGTAAAAATATAGACAAACTCTCTCGAGGATTATTTGTGTAACTTCATTTTGAAGAATCAGTTTTTGTTGGTCGTTTTTTCTAGTGTTCTCTCCACCCTATCTTTCTTATACTTTTTTCTTGGTCATACTTTTACTTCTTTTCCATTTATTTGCTTGGGTTCTAATGTAATAAATTAATTGTTGACTTTTCAGTAAGGTGGGGCGAAGTATATGACGATGGAAGTTGAAAATTCGCTAAGTGCAAATTAATCTAATTCCACTTGCAGTCTTGCACGCACCCAACCCATCCTTGTCTGTATCTTCTAGAGGTGTTCATGAGACAGGATGAGACCGGGATACCCCTGTTCCGTATCTCGTTTTGAAAAAAAATCGGGACTGAATTTTAGTCCCATTTTTCGTCCCATCCTGAAAGTCGTTCCATCCCGTTAAGAGTCGGGACAGGACTGAGATAAGATCGGGACGTCCCGCCGTCCCAATAAATGAAATAATATCGAAAAAAGATCTAAATAATAATGTTCATTAAAATTTTAAATTATATAATTTATTAAGTTTAAAATCAAAATAACACAAGTACATAAATAATAATAATTTAAAATTAATTATTGAATTATATTAATCACAACTACATATTATAATAAAAAATACAAGTGATCTTTATGTTATAAGATTAGCAACAACAGGCAAGTCAAACACAACATCAAATAATTGTTCTTCTACTTTAGTGAAGATGTACTAAGTTAATTACTCTTTTAAAAATAAGCAAGAAATATGTTATGAATAAAAGTTATTAAATATATAGATATAAGAATAAATGATATTAATATAATTTATATATTATAAAAAAGATATCGTCATGTTTACTCCATGTCATTAAAATTATCAATATAAAAACACTTTAGTTTTAAATAAGAATTGTAAGTATTAAAATTATAATTGATATAATTAATATAAGTATAAATTATATTAATATAATTAATATATTTAAAATAAAAAATAATATATATAATATTCGGGAGGGGACGGGACGTTCTGATGGTAATCTCATGTCCCGTCCTGTTCCGAACCTCTTTCCTGTCCCGTCCCATAAAGTCTCATCTCGATTATTTTTGGATCGGGACAAGACTCGTCTCGATATAATTGAGACGATACCGGATTAATCGAGACGAGTTTAGATTAAACACCCCTAGTATCTTCCATACCTATCAGCACCACAAGCGCATTTTTGTACGTACACACAAGCTAAGTTTTAAATTATGCACACATGCAAGTGATGAGGCGCGCGCGCGTACACAATCAAATTCACGTGGAGTTGCGTTGAGCCGTCCTCTGTTCAATGATCAATGGACCAATTATTCCACACAAAAAAAAAGGTAAATGGACCAGAATAAGCGGGGATGAGTTTGTAATGATTTTTGGGTATCCCAGTGTGAACCCTATGCGCCTGCCAAGGCGGAAGAATGTATCCATCAACAAACACAAGGCGAGCTGAAGTTTGAAATAAGAGAAAATAATTCAACGCAAAATCTTAAAACTTGAATTTATAAGTCATTTTATTTAATGAATTCAATTCCACCCCATACAGGGTTTTGCACATCAAAGTCTATTATATGAATAATTTTTTTTTTTAATATATACAAATGTGATGTAGAGTGAAAGCGCAAGATATGGTAAGGGCCACGCGGTTCACATTGGGAATAATGAAGGAAGAAAGGAGCAAAGGGAAGCATAAAATAATATACCCAATTCAATGGAAGTTCTGCAATGGATAATGTTATTATTTGGCCTCACGTTTCGCGCGCGATGGGAATATAGATTATGAACTACTAACTGGGAACTGATATCCCATATCCTGTTGCTGCGCGAGATTCATCTTCTTATTTATAAATTCAATCCCTCTACTTCACTATTAATTAACGTAATAAAAATATCTCCAGGCAGGGCATATATATACATATATATCGGAAGATTCAGTTAAAATAACAGCATATTGGAATTGATTTTTTCCAACTAATGAACGTTCAAAGCCACCAAAAACAAAAAATGCTATCGCAATTGGATTCGTTGGAGCTTTCGGCCCTTAAATTGGATTCATGGGAATTCAAATTTTTAATGCCTTGAATTAAGTCAATCGTTCAATCGATCCTATGAAGTGCGTAGTTTAAAAAAGGGGGGAAATGAAGAAGAAAATTGAAGACTGGCATGGAAAATGATTTAATTTTTCAAATACATTAAGTTAACGTGGCAGGTGCACCTCCTAAAATTATTTTGGGAAAGATGTTAATTATTTTTAACTAGAGTTTATCTTTGATCTTCAAACTTTATATAAAATGTCATTTTAATCTCTTATTTTTTTAAGTATATTTTCAATCCTTTAACTTTAATATTATTAATTTAACTGATTATTTTTTGTGTCAATCATTATTACTTTTAAAAAATTAAATTAAATTAATTAATATTTAAGTATCTTTTGTTAATATTTAAATTTTAATGTAAAAAATTTTGTTGATGAGACTAATAATGCTATAATTAAATGATTAAACAAGACACTTTATAAAATTAAAATAAAATCTTATATAAAGTTAAGAGAGATGGACTTTAATCATGGCTGCTTTTCATGAACAAATTAAAATGTTTTTGGAACACTACTTGACAAAAAACATTTAATAGAGTCGAGGATGGATACTTCTTTGTGGGGTATTTAATCTTCTTCTTAATTAGTTGCAATAAAAGTCCTCCTAATTATATTAATTGTCGGTCATGTAAGACCTAACCTCACACGCACACTGTACGGTTCCCCTTGTTTATGAGAAAGAAGCAACAATGATAGCATTTTTGTACGCTTGTCGGTCCAAGGTGGCAGGTAGATGATTCGTGTTTAACACTAAACAAAATTTAATTTTTGGTTTTTTATGACGAATTCATAAAAGAAGCTCACCCCATCGATAAAACACCTCTCCGGGCTCTTCCCAAGGGAGTAACCAGATTTTAAAGCCATGCCATGCACTAGTTGATTGGGGTGGAAAGTAGAGGAGGAAGATGATAATAATGAGTTAAATTAATAAATTTTAAATAAATAAACAAATAAGATTATAAAAATTTAATAAAGAGAATGTGTGAAATGAAAGTGTAAGAAAATTCAATTATAAACTTGTAACCTACTTTTTTCATTTAAAAATATAAAATATTTTTTTAAGAGTTAAATGTTAAAAAATGTAAAGTATTATTAATTTTTCAAGGTGTAATCATTACTTTTTTGTTAAAAATACCCCTATTAATGAATGACTTTATATTTATTATATGATATTTAATAAAGGTAAATATAAAAAAATAGAGTTAATTTGAAAGTAGATGACTATTTTGTTGGAGTGAGATTCAATTAAAAATATTTTATATTTTTTAACAGAGAAAATAAGTTCTATATTTTTAAAACTGGTGGTTTTTCATTCATATCCTTTAAATCAAAGTGCTAAATATGCTATAAAAGCTAATAAAATTAAAATATTTAGTAAACATTAAAACGATAATTTTAAAAAATAGTATCTAAAATACGTGAAATATTTACAATGAAAGAGAGATAATATATTTTATTTTTCTGAATTAAAAATTGAGAGAGAACTATTAGAATAGTTTAAAAGAACATGAAAAAAGGTCCACACAATGCTTCTAAATCCTACATTTTTTTGTCAGATCATAGATACTTTACATTGCGGTAAGAAAGATAATACAAGATTAAAATAAATTATGGAGAACTGTAGAAAAAAGTAAAAATAGTGTAGAAAGAACGGTACTCAATGCAATTTACAAAAGTAATAATAAAGATAATCCAAAATGTTATCTCTGTATAATGAATTAAATAAAAATAACTATATTTGAATAAAAATTATGTATGCTATTTTAGTCTTGGGGAGATTGTGACGTGAAGCAAAATTGAAAAAAAATATTACCAGTGGAATTACTAAAATAAAAAATCAATTCCATGAAAAATTAAACGAAGAAACCTGTCAAATCAAAATTTGAAAAATATATTTCATCTTTTTAAGAGTACAGTTTCTATACTCGAGTTTATTCCTCTATCAAGATATTTAAATAGAAAAATAAGTCACGTTGATAAAGACGTCCATGGTGGCAATTATTCACGAGATGTATAAAGCAAAAGGTTAAAGCGAGATTTAGTAATAAAAGGAGACAGATAAAATGAGTGGCATCCGTTTCGATATATAACTAGATTGGATTTCGGGCGTTGCACTGGTTTTATGTAAGAAAATTGCAAGAAGTAATATAGATAACAAAATTTATAAAATTTCAATTTAAATAATAATGCTGTCTTGTTAGACAGAATGAAGATTTGTTTGCGCATACATTTACATTCAAGTCAATTTCAAAGTTAAAAAAAAATAAATGAATGAATATTAATTTTTTTTAAAAAAAATTGAACACGTTTAGTCAAGGAATAATAAAATTTTTTGATCACAACTCATGTTACAATGTGGAAGAAATATATCACGTAATGTTTTATTTTCATGTAATATTTGATTATTTTGATAAGCTACATTGGATAGTTGTGAAAAATAGTCTAATACAACATATGAGAAATAATATCATAAAAAATGCAATAAAGATTTTATAAAATTTTAAAATAACTAAATATAATCTCTATTTTATAAATAGAACTTTATGAAAATATCATAAAATATAAAAATAACTAAATAATAAGTACTTGTAATCATCACCATCATCTATAATGATTTAACTTGTCATTTAAATTTGGGTAAAATTAGAACTTTATTCTAGGAATAATGAACTTTTAACCTCTTAAATTTGCCTTATTTTTCAATTTAGTCTTTTGAATTTAAATGATTTGGTCATAAAAAATGAAAACAATGGACTTAAATATAATTAGAGATGCCTTATAGAGACTAATCTATATAGTAGTTAAAGAGAAACTTGATTGAGGTAACTACTTAATAGATAAATGCTAATCCCAACATCTCTAGTCAAAATTTAGCCATTGCAATCTACTAAGGTTGGCTCCAAAATGTTCATTAAGGATCAGGTCATCAATCCTTGATATCCTCAGCATTCTCATGTTGTTATTTATATCCTCTGCATGTGGTCCATAAAGCTTCTTCTCGATTTGCATGTGACCCTCTTCAGTTGAAGTTATGAAAATACATGTTAGATAATGAGAACAACTTATATCCAGGTGAGTATCAGCAAAAGTGGCCTTCGCTCCATATATCCTCTTCAGTTGACTGATATTGCATATCACCGTTTTAGATAATGAGAACAGCATATATCGTATCAAGTGACAACGCAAAATATGCTCAATTGCATTGATCTCAGATCCCCTACGAGGAAGATACGTAAAATAAGGATTATGAATTTTGAAAATTGCAATGTAATAATTATCTAAAACAGTGAGCCACTTCCATTTTCAAACTAAGAAAGAAAATATACCGGAAATTGGAGTGTCAATGACGTTTAGAATGAGGTCATGAGAGTGCAGAGAAGCGTGCATATGAACAAAAGGATGTAACACCAGAAATGCTAGCCTGAGACTTGAAGGCTTGTGTTCCAAGAATAGTACTTGCCAGTTGCACTCTTGCCATTCCCTGTGCGACCCATTAACACCATTGTTCTCCCTTGTTTGCTTGAGCGCACACAAGTAATCTCCCATTCTCCACCCAATAATACTGTACGTAGATTCAATTCACTTGCAATTACTGCATCACACAGAAAATGTGGTAATTGTATGATATTTGATTGATAGGTCTCGCCTAGAACTAACTATGATATTTGGTCCAAAATATAAAATATTAAGTTTTTTTTTACCTCTATCCTTACTTCATTTATTACTCTTTTAAAAAAATGATGTATTAAAATTTTAATTATCATTATCAAAATATTTATATAAGTTATTTAATAAGGATAAAATAAATTTTTTAAAAAATTAAAATTTCAATTAACATTTTTCAAGAACTGTGAATTAGTCACCAATATCCCATATTTTAGTGGAGAGAAAGTAAATGTTTATTGATTATTAGCTTCTAGTTTCATTTTAGGATTAATCATGCACAGTAAATGTACTTTAAAAAAGGATTTAGATTATCTGTTTATTGATTATTAGTGTTCTGTTTTATTTTGGGATTTTTTTTATCACCGGCTGCATTCAAGAAAGTATTTGCTTTTTACCTGGTCAATTGTTTGTTCTTTTTTATTTACCCTTGTAATTTTTCGTTATTTAGAATCATCACATTATAAATTTAAAATAAACTTAGAATCGAAATGCTACTTAATCAAAGTTAAAGAAAAGGCCCGCAATGAAAAGAATGCAGCGGTGGGCTCAACTGGAATAGAAGAGCAATTTCATTTGAAATGGGAAAAAGCGGAGGGAGAAACATGTTGAGAGTGGGATTTGAACCCACGCCCTTTCGGACCAGAACCTTAATCTGGCGCCTTAGACCAACTCGGCCATCTCAACAATCAACATTGAGAGACTGACGCTAAATTCTATATAAATAATAATATTCCCAAATTACCCCTCCCAAAAAATTCCACGCGGCTTAGAAAAGAGGATTCATGCTGTGCTCCAATCAAACTGACAATTTTTTTGGTCAATAGATTGTAACAATTTGACACGCCATTTGATTCAAACATTGTTAATTTTTTGAATATGAGCAAGTCAGTCTCAATTCAGAAGAAAGCCTTAACAGTTATTTTGACACGCGCATCGTGTATGACTAGAGCTAGTTTAAGTGGTCACCATATAAATTAGTATTGAAAGTTCATTGCCTCTTAATTATTTTAATAAAAAATATTAACTATCAGTTTTTTAAAAAATAATTTTTATTTAAAAAATATCTAGTAAAAAAATATAAATCTAGACCATGAAAATTATATCAAAATAATTCAGAAATAATGAGCTTTCAATGCTTATTTACATGATGAACATTGAAACTGGTTCCTTATATTGTTAGAGAATATAGTCACGTAAAGATAGAAAATGTATAAGAATCTCAAAATATAAAATCAATAATTTTATAAAATATTTATGATGTTTTTATCATCATTATTGTTTTAATATCATTAGTATTATTAATTTTATGTAGAAATACCAAAATTCATTTCTGTTAAATATATTGATTTCTTTCCCAATATACTCCTTTTTTTTTATAATTACAAACAAATTCATAGTCAAACTTTTTGCCGAGGCTTAATGATTCGATGACATAAAGAACCTCCCGCGAATGGGAGAAGTTGTGAGTTCAAACTGATCATAGTGAGTCGTACAATGTGAGTTATCTTTCCAATAAGAAAAGTAGGGTGCGTGTGTGTGATTTAAAAAAAAATAAATTAAAAGACAAATAACGTGGATAAGTAATGCATCTCAGAATGCATGTTTTTACTTTTTCTAACATTATATTTAACTTATGTTATTATACGTCAAACATGATGAAACATTGTGTGAAGAATTCCCATTCAGGCGGCATATCTGAAACTAACCTTCCCAGAATTTGTTGGTTATCTGGGAAAAATACAAACATATCTTCAGGTAGGGCATCACATGACAGCTTCCAGAGGCTAGCTGGCGCCACAATCAAATGAAAGACACGCCACACTACACCCTACCTTAACGCTTTGATCTATCATTCAACCCATTATCTGCTCATACCCCACACACACACACACACACACGTGCCTAACCTTGTTGGACTATTAATCTTATTCCAAGTAAACCCTGATTTAGTTAACTCTTTAATTTATATATACACCTATCTGTCTATTGCTCAATCTGTCTACACATAAATTGATGGGTTCTTATTCAAACAATAATCGTGAACAAGAGCACGTGATTGAGTAGCTGATCATTGAATATTCTTCATCGTTACATGAACAGGCCAGTAAGGACATAAATTCACACCAGCTAGCGTTATATATATACATATATATGCAACTCAAACATGTATGTGTTGGTCTATGTGTTGAGCTTTCACCGAAGCTTCTGCTAGACAAGGCAAATAGAATCGATCATATCGTAGACTAATTGAAAATGTCCAGAAATTACAAGACTTTGAATCGGAACGTGAATTGAATATTTCTCTATACATACCCGTGATGATCGATCATCGTCACGTCATCAGAAAAAAAACTCATCGGCCACGTGCGGACCTCCAGCTATATATCTGGTGCTTATGTATAAGCAGATAGATAGAGAATATGAATCAACGAATTAGGCATAATCAGTTACAGGGCAACTCTCCTTTGGCAGGTCGGATGGTTGAAGTGAATCCACAGTATTCATTATTTTGAGCACCTGCCAAAGAAGAGAAGCCCTGCAACTGAGTCGCTTATGTGTATTGGACTGCTATGGGAGAAGAGAAAGCCCTGAGATGCATCTTTATAAGTGGCCCTATGAGAAGTAGCAATAGCATATGCCTTGGGGATATCCTCTCATCCCAGAGTGCCTGCTTTTTACGGATTCCATGCAGATTTATGAAACCGCCCAATACCATAACTTTTTCTCTAAAATCTCAAGCTAAGTGAGAGATGCTTGCTTGCATCTTGATCTGTGTATCCCTCTTTATCCTTCTCTGCTGTCTCTGGGAGACGGATTTTTCGGGAATGAGGAACAACTGAAAAAGTAATGGTGGCCCTCTGAAAAGGCTAAGGACTCAAACGGGGTAGAGATGCCACCAGGATCTTGGCCGGGACCAGGTATATCCCTGTCATATTCTTCTTCGTTTTATTTTTTCCCCTTAACGTATTTACTTTTTATATGCACACAGTAATTTAAATATTTAAAAAAATTTAATAAGTTATATCATAGAGATATATACATACAGTATCGGAGCCACATACACTTGAGAGGGAGGCATATGCACCCCTTCAAGTTGGAGAAAATTATAAATAAGTAGTAGATATTTTGTAATTTTACTTTCTCTAGTTACACAATTTTAAACCCCTTAAAATCTAGGTTCTTTTTTTTGTAAATATTTTAAATTAAATTCAGTTATGAATTCACTAAGTCCATAGCTCTAATATAATTTTTAAAAAAGAATATACTTATTTATTTAATTTTTTTAAATCTCTAGTTAATTATTATATAGTTTCATATATAAATAATATCATAAATTAGTGACTTATATAGAAGAAAATACTTTTAACAGCATTTGATAATAAGTATGGAACAATTATAAAATATATGATTATTTTAAAAAAATTAAATAATTCTTTTTAAATTATTATTTTTAAAATTAATTTGCACCCTTGATATATGGTCCTGGCTCTCCGTTACTGTATGTGTGTGTGTGTGTGTGTATCAATTGCCATCGACTATGGAGAACTGAAGACATAAATCCCCTGTCAAGTGATTGATACGGTCAATTTTTTTTCTAAAAAAAAATTCTCAAATTTAAACAATAATATCGGTAAATTCTATAGACCGTGCAACAGTGAATGATCTGATGGCGCTTGTACTTTTGAAGTGTCATATTTAATTTTTTGAACCGCCTGGAAGTTGATTCCATTGAAAAGAATTACGTTTATTTATTATAGCATTTTTGAATTCTCAAGTCATTACTATATCTTGGTCCCTTGAAAGCTCATTGCTGAGTTTATACCATCGAATATAACCTTGAAGTGCCCTCAAACTTTCTGCCCTGTCAGAAGATATTTGATAATTTAATATATTCCATGCAAAAAGCTTTCAATCTTATTGTTTCATTAAACAAAATCTTCTATTGGTCTCGCCATGGTATTTAACCACCCGTATTATTTGGCTATTCCCTTTTTTAAAATAATTTGTTATACACCGGAAAGCATATTATTAATTAGGCTATTTTAACTGTGCTAATATGATCATCCTTGGCAATATATATATATATATATATATGGAATCATTCATTGTAAGAAGAAACATGCCTGCAAGAAGAATTACTTTGGATTCAGAAATTTAGGAGTGACTGGATCAATCTTGGCAATCACAACGCCTCCTATTATCACACCAAAGCCAAAACTCGCAGATCACAAAGCAAAATCTCCTCACTTAAAGACGATAACAGGGACTGGATCTCTAAGGAGGAAGCACTTAAAGAGTTGGTACAAGAATACTTTATCAATCTATACTAGACTCCTCCAGTTGCAAACTGCTTGTACTTGCACCGAGGTATGTTTCCAACAATCTCTACTTGCTCCTTTGACATTTTAAGTGCTGACATCTCCCTTGAAGAATTGAAAAACGCTCTACTCGAAATAAAGCCCTTAAAAGCCCCTGGGCTCGATGGTCTACATACATTATTTTTCCAAAGTTAAGGGGATATTGTTGGAGACTATTTTGTATGGTCAATAACATTTTTAATGGAGAAGCTCTGGGACTTGGTTGCCAAACCCACCAACATTAAGGAATCCTGGCCTATTAGTATGTGTACTGTGACTTACAACCTTGTAACTAAATTCCTTGCCAATCGTCTCAAACACGTGATGCCCACACTTGTCCTACCCTTCTAATCTAGCTTCATTAAAGGTAGGAGTATCATTGATAATATCATCATTACTCAAGAAGTCATTTACTCAATGAACAAGAAGCAGGTCAAGAAAAGTTAGCTTGCAATTAAAGTGGATCTAGGGAAAGCCTTTGACAAGCTAAATTGGTCCTTTGTAGAAGATACTCTTCGAGATGCCAGATTGCCTAATAAATGTGTCTCAACTATTATGCAATGCATCAGCACACCAATAATGCGAATACTTTGGAATGGTAAGCTTTGCCAACAATTCCAACCAACCAGAGGCATTTGCCAGGGAGACCCCTTATCCCTTTTTATCTTTGTGTTATGTATGGAGAGGCTCTCTCAATTTATTCATCGAGAAGTGCATCTTGGTAACTAGGATACCATCAAACTTGGAAGGAGGGCCCCACTACCCTCTCATCTCTTGTTTGCAAACGATCTTATACTATTTGGAGGTGCCACATACAGCCAAGCCTAGGTTATTCAAAAGATTTCTAATGATTTTTGCCAAGCTTGGGCCAAATCGTGAGCCAAAGTAAAACACGTATCCATTTTTTTTAAAATGTCTCCAGAAGGGATAATGGCTTGATCTTTGACATGCTTAATTTCAAGCGCACCAATTGCCTTAGGAAGTATCTAGGAGTACCCTTCCTTCACTCACATATTACTAAGGACACTTATCACTACATAATAGAGCAGGTGCAACAAAAGTTAGCCAACTGGAAAGCCAGGTCCCTATGTCTTGCAAGTAGAATCTCTTTAGCAAAATCTATGCTTAGTTCCATACCATTGTATACCATGCAGACATCTTTGCTCCCAATATCTTGTTGTGAAACTACAGAAGAGCTCATTCGAGGATTTATCAAGGGTGCTGATAGTCAGAATAGAAAAATTAGTCTAGTGAAGTGGTAGGACATGTCTCAACCTCTTAACTTTGGGGGTTGTGGCATTAAAAACCTTGAAGGTCAAAATCAAGCATTTCTATCAATTTTAGTTCCAAGTAGTTAAGGCTAAATACAATTGGGCCTGAGGATGTGCAGCTAGTTTCAAGACCAATGCAGCTTTATACTTTTAGTGTAGTATTGTTGGAGTCTAGCAAGACATCGAGATGCATACTGCATGGCAACTTGGTAATGGGCAACATGTTAGGTTTTGGTTGGATAGCTGGATCGATGATATGGGACCACTCAAAAACATTGCATTTGCTAATATTCTGCCTACAGACTTATCCAACAAAGTTCATGATTATGTAAATGAGATATGTCACCAGACCACCGCAACTTGCTTAGGAGCCCAATAGCTATTACTGGAATCTCACAAATAGCAGTGAATTCTTGTTGCTTCTGCATTAGGATCTACTCAAGAAACTCCGTGGAATGAGGAACATCAAGCATGGACTTGGATATGGAAGTGGCCGAGCATCCAGAGAGTTAAAACCTTCATATGGTTAACCAAGAAGAATTGCTCATGCTAAACAAGTGAGAAGGGGAATGGCTTCGAATTAATGCTGCTTGTGATGTTTGTGATGGTTCTGTTGAAGATGTTGACCACATCCTGCGTAGATGTTCCCAAGCTAGGCTTTGCTGCTAGTTAATGGTTGTCCCGCAACATGCCACCATTGCCTATGTTTGTGATTTAGTTTTTTCTATTGTTAAAGCCCATGACGTGATTAAATCACTGGATCATGAAGCCTAATCTATTGGCTGCTACTTTGTTGTACTTGTAAATATTTGTTAATATTATTCCTCTTTCACTCAAACAAAAAAAAAAAAAAGGAATCATTCATTGTAAGTTGTAACAAAAAGAATATCTTCATTAAGTTTGTATTGTCTAAATTGAAAGGTTTATAAAATCTACTAACTTTTTTTTGCTTTTGCCAACAATCTGTTAACTCTTACAATAATAATTGCCTTTTTTACACCTCTCTGGAAGTGATCTCTAACATATAAACTCATTGATGAACCTCGTCCCGAAATAATAGAATCAAATTAATATCACTAATCATTAGTCAGCAGCAAGTCTCTGCCTCAGCATTTTGATTCCCATATACCTGCACCATCAGAAAGAAAAAACCAGCCGAATGACCATTAATGGATAGATTCTGGAAGAATATCTTAACTAATTATATATATATGAAAAATGCAGATAATTGAAGTACCTTCCTAGCATCATAACAGTGGCTTGAGGATTAGTTCCCGGAGAATAATTAAAGGTGGAACCATCAATAACACGTAAAGAGTCAACTCCAATAACCTTATAATCACTATCTACGACCCTCCCTACTTGGCACCCTCCATGATAGTGCCAAATCGTCATCACTGTGTTCCTGCAAAACTCCTCCAATGGCGTCGCCGAATTCACGTGCTTCGGCAATAAATTCACCGGCCATCTTGAACTCATGTTGGCCAGAAACTCCTCTGCTATATTCTGGTACGTGAACGGCGAGAATGCCTGCGATTCTATCACTCTCTCGATTATTCTCATGCCTTCGACGCATCTCTCCAGGTCTCGTGGGTCCTCAAAGTAGTTGAACGTCACTAACGGATCGTCGTTTACGTCACGGGTTGGGAGCTCCAAAAACCCGGTTGAAATTGGGCCCATTATTTTCTCAAGAATGAACCCGCCTCTTAACTCCGCGTCCTCAAGACTGTCCATCAGCTGTATGGCCTTTGCCAGGGCTTCTGGGGTTCTTTCCTTCGGCGGCACCTTCGAGAACTGACCAATCTGTAATTGTCACCGAATCAAGCCTCTTAGCAATAATAGTTAACACTGTCAGATCTTCTTTGATTGGGCTCGTGCAAAAGAAGTGTGAAAATGGACTTAAAAAACGAGATACAGCAAAATACTTTTTTGCTACAATTTATAAGATATATTTAGAAAATTCAATGTCCTGAAATAAAACACTTGACAAAAATAATATTTCATTAACTATGCTTCTTCACTATTACATTTTTTATATATTATTTCTATTTAATATTCTATCACAAATCTAATATTAAAGTAAAGTTAGTTTTAGAAGTTTATATTTTTATTTTTAAAAAACAAAATTATAAATTGTATTTAATAAATATATATGATTTGGTATAAAAGTGTTTCATAAATTGAGATGAAGAGAGAGAAAGAGTAACAAAGCAAAAGAAGCACTTGAAGTTAATTTATAAGTTATGGGTTTAAATTTTGTTATTAATTTGAAAACATTGTTGGTGGGTTTGAGCTTTTTTGGTCCAAAAGCATACTTTGGTGAGGTTTTGAGACTTGACTTCCTTGAACAACTTTTTTTTTTTTTTTTAAATAGAAAAAAGAGTGGATCCGCAGAAGAAAAACAAATACGGCGGCCTTATTTTCTGGGGAGCTATGATGCTTACTCTTGGCGAAAACAAGCCATAGTTTCTGGGATCACCGCGGCCAAAGTTTTCGCCGCTGGCGGCTTCGATGTAGCTGCCGGAGCTTGTGATGCCGACAACCTGAATGAGGGAGACCTCCACAGGGATAGGGGATGGCACGAATACGGCGTTCATGGGGTTATCTGACATTCCTTGGCCCACTAAGGGTTGGTCCAACACTACACTGATATTATGGGCCCTGAGGTGGGCTTCTGGGCCTATCCCACTCAACATCAGAAGCTGTGGGCTTCCAAGGGCACCGGCTGACACAATAATCTCGTTCCCCTGCCCGTATCTCAGGTAGGCCCTGTGTAACCCCCCAGACGCATCTCTAAACAAAACTCCTCGGGCCACTGGTTTTGACCCTCCTGTTGAAAATTAAGATGCAGATTAGTGACTAGGGAGCAGTGAATTAACCAAGTTTATCCGAAAATGAGTTGTAGTATTGTTTGTGAACTGTGCAGCTCTTAATTCTAGACGGACCTTGAACTCTGAACGATATACGGTGGACGGTGGCATGCAAAAGCACAGTGATTCTGGTGGAATCGGCATATCGGAGAAGATCAGCAGCAGTATGCCTGTGACCTTGCCGGTCAAAAATGGTACCACCGACCTTGGTTCCCTCCATGTGGTCGTAAGTGAAGCCATTGAAAGGGAGCACTCCAATCTCCAGCAACCCATCCCGAACGGCCGACTGCCACTGACGCATCGGCGGCTCAAAAGCCACCGACTGCTCCACCCATTCGTACGATTCGTTCACCACCCTTCCGTCCCAACCAGCATCCCTACCAATCCAATTCCGATAAAGAAAGTCAGAAAGATGCATAGATAAAGGTGAAGATGATGCATGCATGTTCATATAATATACCTGACGTAGAGAGGGCTAGCACGAGTGTAGAAGCCGGCGTTCAGGCAGGTTCCACCGCCGAGAACTCGGGCTCTGGAGTTGATGACGCCGTCTTGAGAGATGAAGCGCTGGGCGGGAGAGGCAGGGGAGGTATCGGAGAGAGGGACGCCGAAGGAGGCCAAGTCGGTGATGTTGGGGTTACCGTAAGGAGAGCCACCGCGTTCCAGGAGAAGCACCGTGTAATTTTGGGACAGCGTCGCCGCTAAGGGACAGCCAGCTGTACCGCCGCCTATTATTATGTAGTCGTAGTACGACACCTTCGGAGCTGTCGTTGCGCTCCGCATGAATGGATACTTCCGGCGACCTGTCCCGACAGACACAAGAAAAATCCCGTCTTCCTTTAATTAATGCTTCCCAATTTTTACTCTTTTAATATATGCTGTAACTATATAATTAATTACCTTCCCGTGATGCGCAATGCTGAGGAGAAAAGAAAATGCCAGAAAGAGCAGCGAGAGCAACGAGCCTCAACCAGCAAGCACCCATGAGCGAATAGCTCAGGATTTGCGACTGCGGGGTTGGTTTTGGCTACACGCGCGTTGTACTGAATAAGACAACCATTCTTCTTTGATAATATATACTGCAGATATTTCCTATAAATTTGACTAATGTAAAGAGCACTCGTTGTCTTTGTCGCCGAAATTAACAGATTTTACTGTATATGTTCTTCTCACGTCCATCCGCGGAGAACAAGGCGCGCGCGCAAGAAAGTGCAGGTTATGTGACACCAACAAAAATGCCAAAAAAAAAAAAAAGGTTCAGTTCCAATATGTATAAGTAGCGTCTTTAATTTGTTTCTAGTTATGGTTTATTTTCATAATTTTCGACCCCTTTTTTAATCATCTCTTCCGGCACGGTAGATGGTGGTAGACTTTTCCCAACCGAACGGTTATATGTTAGATTCTAGATTTGAGTATAATACCAGGAAATAGGCTTATAGTATATTTACAATTAACTTCTAAAATTTACAATTGCATTATTTAACTGATTTTGAACAATTTGGAGAATAGATTTCACATTTGTGCGCGCATTTGTCTTATATTGATGACGAGAAGTTTTAAATAGCTCGATGACGACGTTCCCATGATCATGGGCTCAAATGTAAGATTGGTTATCAATACCTGACTTGCCACTTGCCAGTAGTCAGTGTCGGAGCTCAATCAAATTGATAGCTGCCACCAGCAGTGCCAAACTGCCAACAATGTAGCTCTGTCATTAAGCTCCAGCATCCACGATTATAGCAAAGGGAGAAGAATTTTTTCTAAAGAGAGGATGAATATTTTAGTACATGCACCTCGATTTTAAATTTCATCAAAGTTTCTCAAGACTTAAATGAAAGTGAGAAATATTTGAGCAGTGAACTTGGGATGCGACATAATAATAATTAATACCCATTAAAATTTGAAACCTTAGTTTAGTTTAAGAGGATTAAAATGAAATTAATTTAAATAATATAAGTACCAAATAGCCTTTATTTAAATATTAAAAAATATTAGTCAAATTTACATGTAATGTTAAAAAAATAACAATTAAAATTGAAAAATTAACAACTGAAATTGTTCTAGTAGTACACTTAAATTACTTTATTTGACTTATTAATCCTTAAAAAAATGAAAAGACTTGTTAAATTAGTTTATCTGAAGTTAGGCAATAACTTCAGTTATTAATTTCCCAATGTTAATTGTTGATTCCCTAACATTACACGTAAATTTAACTGTTATTTTTTAAATATTTAAATAGAGACGATTTCAATAAGTTCATCATTTAAATTAATTTCATTTTGGCTCTCTTAAATTGAACTTAAATTTCAGATATTAACAGGCCTTATTCATTATTATATCACTTCCCTAGCCCTCTACTGAAATGCTCCCTAAATGAAAATTCTCCAAGGGACTAATTGTAATTAGGTCCCTTAGAAGGAAATCTAATTGAAATTCTCCAATAAAAGACACTTGGGCTTGATAATTATTATACAATTAAGGAGAACGCCGCTTCCAATCAATTAATAAAAAATAAAAATTATTTTTGTTGCACCTTCCCTTGATATTTGGAGTTTTTTTAGACCTAGACTAATTTAAATTAAGTTAGGTCAAACCAGTTAATAAGGGCGTCAAGCTCTCCAAACAAGTGTTTAACACAAATATATACTCCCTTCGTTAAAAAATATAAAGTATTTTTAATCTTTCGACGTACAATCATTATTTTTTTTCAGAAATACTTCTATTGATAATGACTTTATATTTATTGTAAGATATTTAATAAGAATATGTATGAAAAGATAGTGTTAATTTAAAAATAGATAATTATTTTATTGAAAGTGAGATTTAATTAAAAATATCTTATATTTTTGAATGGAGAGAATACTTTATTTTAATTAAAGGGTAGAAAATATTTTTCTTTTTAACTCTCAAGTATTTGTTTTAATTTGCTTCCACCTCAGTTTACTCCTAACATTGCTCAAAGGCTTGGTTTGGTTTAACCGAGTAAAAACCAAACCGAGTTGGATAAAGTTGGGATGTGATCATTCATAAGAAATTCAATTCGAGTTGGGTTGGATCATGCTAAGATTTTCTTTTGGTAATTTATTAATCACTTTTTTCTTTTAATATATCTTCAATTATTTATGATTTTAATCAAATCTGTTGTGATTCGAGATTTGAGAATATATAAAGGTAAAAGAAAGCCAGGCAACATACCCTTTTGACTTGCTATGATTTTATATTTAAAAATTTTGACACAATTAACATTAAATACACATTGAAGCGTGCATATCTTCAGGAGAATGGAGAGTAGTGATCTTGGTGTAAGTATATCTAGTGCGTGCATGATTCTTGACAATTTGAGGTGGAAGCTAGCTGCCAATAATGATAATACATACGAATGCTTATGAAGAGGATGAACCACACGGATTCTCTCAATTTGCAATCTCTTTCATTTGTATTCATTCGAATCTGTAACCATTAGATTAACGTAAATTATTATCATGTTATTTTCTTCGTATATTACACTAGGAAATTCGACATCCAATTTGTCATTTTATTTGGATTATAGATCTATAAAAAAGAATGATCCGAAAATGGTGACAAAAGGTGAGAATCTAAATGTTGATTCTGATGTTATTGGGCTCGAGCTATGAAACACTTTCAGCTTACAGACATTAAGCTAACCGTTGATTCTGACTAGTGAGAATCCATCATGACCACCTGAGTTCTATCAATAGACAATAAAAACAAAAGAAATGATATTCATGTACCTTTTAGATACTAAAAATTCACCGTCGCATCACCTACATCAATGAGGGAAGCTAGATAGATCAGCTATATTTTGCAACTTCATGGAGCCCAAAGGACTTGAATGGGGAAAAATTATGTTGAATTCTTGAAACTTTAGCCGGATATTACATTGAAACGGCCACGATGAGAAATGGGAGGTTGCGTTGACCGCCACGGAAATCTCTTTGATTTGCAGCCAGGAGACAGAATTTAATACAGAGAGTTGTAGGTATAGCAGGTGGCGATGATGGAGATGATGCAGATGAAGAGAGAAGGAAGGAGGGTGATATTAAGGAGCCTACTCACTCCCAGATAGCCAGCAAGAGTAATAGTTGCATCAGCCACCACTCTCGCAAGCGTCCCAGCCTCCGTTGACAGTAGCCCCCCATTATAGGTTCCGCGAGAAAGCCTTGATGACATGACCCGGGAAAGAAGTGACAGGTTGACCCCTGTAAGTGTATTATATCAGTAAACAGCACCATCTTTTTTCTACTTTGTAGCATTCCAGATTACTAGAATCATGCAGAACATCAATATGACTTGTGAGGTAATATAAAATTAGAGATTTGAGGTCTGAGTTATTGCTTGTGAATATATTTTACATTGATTTATAACGAGTCATGTTGTTCACAAGTCATAAATAGTATTAGCTTACCCAGACTTTGTACAATGCACTGAATGCACCTACCTTTTTGATAGAGAGTTCTTAATTGTATGCTTTTTTATTGGAATTAAAAAGCTAGGTGTCAAGCCAAATAGAGATTAAAGATCAAAGTACAGGAGCATGAAGCTCAGTGTAAATGAACATGAACTCAACAACCATCTCACAAACCTAGTAAGCAAACCAGTTAACAAGCATTCTATCTGATCTTTTTTGCCGGCGTGAGTAAAACAACCTCCCTCCTGTGCACCTTCACAATATTACTATATTTATTATTACCATAGATAATAAAATCAGTATTAAAATCATACCTTCAAGGACTTCCGCGGCAACAAACATAAGGAGACCTGAACAGATGTATTGTGGCTGGGTGTAAGGAAAGAATAAATGGAAGCTCAGAAGTATGCCAAGGCAAACCATAATTTCTGAGACCAACAAAATTTGCCTACAAAAGAAATCGACAACAAATGTTCTCTCAGCAGTATGTGGAAAAGATTTCAACAACTTCAACATTCAATACATGGATCTGGGAAAAGTAAAGGGAAGTGAAACCTTCGTCGCTAGCTTAAGGGGAAAAAAAAAAACTCTCTCATGCATTAACATGCACAATGTAACAGAATGCATTTTCAAAGCAAGATCCAAGGCATATATTTTTTAATGGGTGAATATTAAACGAAGCATGGATTTTTATTGCACGTTACCTGTCTTCAAACATGTTGCTTATATAGCTTCCCACAACAATATTTACAGGAAGAACTGTCAAGCCAAGGCAAGCAAGAAAAATTGCTACCGAGCTTGTTGACCAGTTGAAGTAGTATGTTGTGATGACACTAGATTCTGATAATAAAATCTCCATTGCATATTTGAGCATGAAATATATTAATAACTGAACCTGAAGATGTTACAGAAATTTTGGTCAGCAAACACATTCCTTATTTTCATTTAACAATCTCCAGCACAAATGTGGAGGATATTAATAGATTACAATATCAAATTAGAGAAACAGTATCTTAAAGAATTCACTCCAATAGGAATGTTAAATTACATGAAAATGGCAAGATCTGGGTTTAAGCATAGAAACAGAGAGAACTTCTACCAAACAAAATAATGCCAGAATCTGAAAATACTACTAAAATGGACAAAGGAGAATCTCCATATACAAGTTCAAATAGTCCAAAGACACCCTCTACCCAGTTTTCTATAACAACTAATAAAGAAAATGCAAATGATAACTGACTACTAGCTGAGTACGCGTGCTGTAAACATGGAGAACATGGAATGTAATGCTTAAGTGCTAAATAACTGCTGCTCTAATGCTAAAATACTAAAGAAACTGTTAGCTCTAATTTTAATTTACAACTGCTAATTTCTCCCTGTTGACATGGCATTAGCTTTCCTCCACTCTTGCTTACTCCCTCTACTGTACATAGGTCGTGGTACTCTATCAGAAAATCATTTCTAGATCTGCAAGTGTTTGTTTTAGCATGCTAATTGTTAATACCACTGCTACAAAGTACTCCAATTAAATTCCGTTCCATGACCTTACCTAATCATAAGCTGGCCAAAACCTACTCAATATGTACAACAGTCTGGCAGCAATGTGGCAGCAAGATATTTCACAAGCAGTTAACATATTGTAATGATGTATGCATAGTTAATAAACTCTTAATTATCATATATCAACGTCTATTTTTTTTTTTTTTTTTACTTGTGTCAACTAATTTTCCCTTCGAC